GGTGCTGTAACCACAAGACGTCCCTTATAACATATAGCATAGGTAACAGTCCACCAATCAGGGGTGTGATGCCAGATGTAACCACAAGACGTCCCTTATAACATATAGCATAGGTGACAGTCCACCAATCAGGGTGTGATGCCAGCTGTAACCACAAGACGTCCCTTATAACATATAGCATAGGTAACAGTCCACCAATCAGGGTGTGATGCCAGCTGTAACCACAAGACGTCCCTTATAACATATAGCATAGGTAACAGTGCTACCACAGTGTGACCAATCAGGGCATGTCCACCAATCAGGGGTGTAATGCCAGATGTAACCACAAGACGTCCCTTATAACATATAGCATAGGTAACAGTCCACCAATCAGGGATGTGATGCCAGATGTAACCACAAGACGTCCCTTATAACATATAGGCATAGGTAACAGTCCACCAATCAGGGGTGTGATGCCAGATGTAACCACAAGACGTCCCTTATAACATATAGCATAGGTAACAGTCCACCAATCAGGGTGTGATGCCAGATGTAACCACAAGACGTCCCTTATAACATATAGCATAGGTAACAGTCCACCAATCAGGGGTGTGATGCCAGATGTAACCACAAGACGTCCCTTATAACATATAGCATAGGTAACAGTCCACCAATCAGGGTGTGATGCCAGATGTAACCACAAGACGTCCCTTATAACATATAGCATAGGTAACAGTCCACCAATCAGGGGTGATGCCAGATGTAACCACAAGACGTCCCTTATAACATATAGCATAGGTAACAGTCCACCAATCAGGGGTGTGATGCCAGATGTAACCACAAGACGTCCCTTATAACATATAGCATAGGTAACAGTCCACCAATCAGGGTGTGATGCCAGATGTAACCACAAGACGTCCCTTATAACATATAGCATAGGTAACAGTCCACCAATCAGGGTGTGATGCCAGCTGTAACCACAAGACGTCCCTTATAACATATAGCATAGGTAACAGTCCACCAATCAGGGTGTGATGCCAGCTGTAACCACAAGACGTCCCTTATAACATATAGCATAGGTAACAGTCCACCAATCAGGGTGTGATGCCAGGTGTAACCACAAGACGTCCCTTATAACATATAGCATAGGTAACAGTCCACCAATCAGGGTGTGATGCCAGGTGTAACCACAAGACGTCCCTTATAACATATAGCATAGGTAACAGTCCACCAATCAGGGTGTGATGCCAGGTGTAACCACAAGACGTCCCTTATAACATATAGCATAGGTAACAGTCCACCAATCAGGGGTGTGTGATGCCAGGTGTAACCACAAGACGTCCCTTATAACATATAGCATAGGTAACAGTCCACCAATCAGGGGTGTGATGCCAGCTGTAACCACAAGACGTCCCTTATAACATATAGCATAGGTAACAGTCCACCAATCAGGGATGTGATGCCAGCTGTAACCACAAGACGTCCCTTATAACATATAGCATAGGTAACAGTCCACCAATCAGGGGTGTGATGCCAGCTGTAACCACAAGACGTCCCTTATAACATATAGCATAGGTAACAGTCCACCAATCAGGGGTGTGATGCCAGTTGTAACCACAAGACGTCCCTTATAACATATAGCATAGGTAACAGTCCACCAATCAGGGGTGTGATGCCAGCTGTAACCACAAGACGTCCCTTATAACATATAGCATAGGTAACAGTCCACCAATCAGGGTGTGATGCCAGCTGTAAACCACAAGACGTCCCTTATAACATATAGCATAGGTAACAGTCCACCAATCAGGGGTGTGATGCCAGGTGTAACCACAAGACGTCCCTTATAACATATAGCATAGGTAACAGTCCACCAATCAGGGGTGTGATGCCAGCTGTAACCACAAGACGTCCCTTATAACATATAGCATAGGTAACAGTCCACCAATCAGGGGTGTGATGCCAGCTGTAACCACAAGACGTCCCTTATAACATATAGCATAGGTAACAGTCCACCAATCAGGGTGTGATGCCAGGTGTAACCACAAGACGTCCCTTATAACATATAGCATAGGTAACAGTCCACCAATCAGGGTGTGATGCCAGCTGTAACCACAAGACGTCCCTTATAACATATAGCATAGGTAACAGTCCACCAATCAGGGGTGTGATGCCAGCTGTAACCACAAGACGTCCCTTATAACATATAGCATAGGTAACAGTCCACCAATCAGGGGTGTGATGCCAGGTGTAACCACAAGACGTCCCTTATAACATATAGCATAGGTAACAGTCCACCAATCAGGGGTGTGATGCCAGCTGTAACCACAAGACGTCCCTTATAACATATAGCATAGGTAACAGTCCACCAATCAGGGTGTGATGCCAGCCAACCACAAGACGTCCCTTATAACATATAGCATAGGTAACAGTCCACCAATCAGGGTGTGATGCCAGTTGTAACCACAAGACGTCCCTTATAACATATAGCATAGGTAACAGTCCACCAATCAGGGTGTGATGCCAGCTGTAACCACAAGACGTCCCTTATAACATATAGCATAGGTAACAGTCCACCAATCAGGGGTGTGATGCCAGCTGTAACCACAAGACGTCCCTTATAACATATAGCATAGGTAACAGTCCACCAATCAGGGTGTGATGCCAGATGTAACCACAAGACGTCCCTTATAACATATAGCATAGGTAACAGTCCACCAATCAGGGGTGTGATGCCAGCTGTAACCACAAGACGTCCCTTATAACATATAGCATAGGTAACAGTCCACCAATCAGGGGTGTGATGCCAGCTGTAACCACAAGACGTCCCTTATAACATATAGCATAGGTAACAGTCCACCAATCAGGGGTGTGATGCCAGCTGTAACCACAAGACGTCCCTTATAACATATAGCATAGGTAACAGTCCACCAATCAGGGGTGTGATGCCAGTAACCACTTTAAACAAGACGTTCTTCTAGATTTTAGCATAGGTAACAGATACGTAGTCAACCATAAGTGATAAATCTGTGCACTCGTGATGCAGAATTCAGACGGAAATGTCTGAGGAGTTGGCTTTATGACGATTTAGCGATGTTCCAGCCAGAGCACGTCGGCAAACGCATTCGCACCTTCAGATACCAACTCCACTAATTTGGGTCAAACCAACAAACACTTAAAGAAGATATAGGATGTACAATTTATGTTATTTCAGGCCAAAGACCAAAAAACACCTCCCCTATACCATCCCACTCTTCGAAAAAGAATTTCAGATCTGAACCAACGCCCCCCACCCTTACAAAAACAAAAACAAATTAAACAAAAACAACTAACAAAACAAACAAAAAACATCAACAACACAAAGCATTAAAAAGAACAAAATTCAAGCATACAAAAATAAACAAAAGATCGAGAAAATTATGAAGATAATCAAACAAATGAAATAATTTTGGTCTTTATCGTTTGTCAGGAATGTTAGAACCACGTGGTCACTGTGCGAGGGACTTAATCGCAAGTTATGTGTGGTGTTGATCATTCAATATGGCGGTGGACGGGTCTGCTGCATGTCTCAAGTCAACTCGTCTGAAATACGAACCTGTGCACTGCAAACACGCCCTTCCTGTTGATTTAAGCCAGATGAAACCGGAATATCACGATCCGACAGCGCCTCAAAGTGCTTCATATCAGTACAGACACACTGGATAGTGGACACAAATATAGACTCGCACACCAGGGACCATATAATAAAGTTATATGATCTCTGTACGCACAGTCTTAGTGTGTGCGCGCGTGCGTGTATAAAGAATGTGTAGTAGTACAAGCATTAGGTAAAATCCACACAAAAACGAATGCCCCTCCTACATGTTTATTGTTTAAACTTTATCTTTCGTGGGAAATCTTCAGAAACCTTCTTCATGGAGAATAGCCTATATATTTATGATTCAAGGGTACAAGGGTTGTGTATAATCACTGACGTCAACAATACCGTCCGGATGACGTAACCAATACGCCGATGCGCGTGAAGTGATATTTACCCTGATGCGCGTGAAGTGATATTTACCCTGATGCGCGTGAAGTGATATTTACCCTGATGCGCGTGAAGTGATATTTACCCTGATGCGCGTGAAGTGATATTGAATGCAGGGTATTTTTCTGAACCAAAGGACAATAAAACAGAATGACCAACTGGAAAGGTTCTTGACTTATCATTTATTCATGAGGGACAGATAATCTGCATTTCCTGGTTAGTCTCTCAGTAGTAACGTAAACATTTTACGGTCAGTACTGTTTGAGTGATAACATGTACTGCAGATAACAGTTTGGCGTATTTTAGACGATGACTTATAACAAGAAGCCCGGATCAAGGTGCATAATAACATGTTATAGCAATTATGGAATTTATAATAAAAACGTTTGGTTTGGACAAATGTGTGTAGATAATCTATCTCGTTCTTGTTAGGTATGGTTTAAGCAGGGAGACTATATAACGTTGTAGATTATCCTTGGTTTAAGTAAAAGCTCGTGGAAACATCGAAAACTCTCCAACGGATTTTTTTAAGTGCAACACATGACCAGGCAGAGGCGGCAAGATGAGCATGAATCGTTCCCAACCTGCACGTGCATCAACCGTGACAATTTCCTGTGCTAATTTTGAAACCTCACTAATGCAAGTGGCCTCTTGGCACGCTCCCATAGTTGTTCCCCTCTCTCTCTTTCCGTCTCTCTCTCAGATCCCTCTCCAAACGACGTGTTGTCGGTATGATCAGAGACTATACTCTGGTATGATCGTATGTTGCAAGTCTGCAACATATCTATTTATTTCCCATATTTCCATGTGAAATGTAAAGAATCTGTAAAATAATTCACAGATCTGCGTAATATCTATGTGAAATCAATTACCGGCAAGTAGTACTATCCAGGCGCTAAACGATCCACTATATTTACGCATGGCTGAGAAACCGTGGCTGGTTGTTTTGAATGTTTTCCTTTTCATTCATAAACTCCAAGGGGAGACAATCGATCGTGACGTCATTGCCCAACATGGCGGGTAGTAAGGTGCTTGCTTCCTGAACTACTCACATACACATTGTTTTTGCAGGTAAAATATTACACATGCATTCACTTCTTCGACCCGTTAATTAGCATGTATCAGTTATTATGTGTCCCTTGGATACACAAGTTGTTAGATTTCTTGCAGTTTGGAGATTCACTTCGAAATATATTCTTGGCGCGGCGGATCTAAGCGTGACAACCCACATTGAAAGGGGAAGTAGTTTTGTTTGTGGCGTATCTTATAATCCTCCTCGGTGAATGCAGCTTACGGTAATCGTTGCTTGTTTTGTTGCAGTAAGGTAAAGTGAATGTACTTTTCTCTGTAATTCATAGTTGAACAATATTGTTAGCGGAACCGAGTGTTGTCATTGTCAACGATGTTTGAAAGTTTAAAGAGTTCCATACAGACTTGTCTGATCTGTGACGAATTTGTAGCTGTCAGGAACTGAAAATGCTAAACCTTCCATTTCTCGTGATTATCATTCCTATTTAGATTTGTGTCAGTCCAGCTCAGACACTGACCTTGTGAAGTTTGAGTCTATGATTCATTGTGATGTCATAATTGGCCTGATGATTTCACTCAGTCTTCTGAAATTGGGAGTATTGGGTGTTTTTTAACGATTGTAACAAGTGCAACACTTATGGGCAAATTCTTGAGTTGCCAGCTTCAAGATCAACTTGACTACAGTGTTCACTCTACCAATGCACCATAGCCACATTCAGAAACACATTACATGTGTTTACTGTGATGCAAGTTCCATTTATACAGCAAAATTTGGCAAATATTCCAGCAGTTTGCTTTCATCATGTTGAATTAATTTGCTAAAATATGTGTGATAGCACACCCATACTCTAACTGACAACTAGGCCTTACAGTTGTGAATTGGTACTGAACATTGCTTAACCCTAAGGGTTGCTGAGGAATAGTAGATCTGAAATGGGGTCCAACCAAGGACTGAAGATTGAGCTAGGGTTACTTACCCCAACCCATACACTGAGAATTGTTGAGACAGCAGATCAGTGAAGTGATCATTGCAGCCTGAGTAGATTAACTCCGGGTGAACTGAAAGCTTACAGGAATTGTGTTGAGAAGCGAGAAGCATGATCAAGGCTTGTTATGAGAAAATGGTTTTAACTTACTCCTGGCGCATGTTGCTGTTAAAACAGAGCAAAGCAGTGGTCTGCTGCCAGTATCCCTTACATTAATGATAAATTGCTGTGAAATGTAAAACATAACTTTAAAGCACCCAGTTTGATGACACCTAAGAAATTACAAATTTCACAAGGATTAGTAATATGGTTATTTCAGATGTACTGTGTTGTACTTTGTGTGGACGTGAAAGGATCAGTCAGGGACAGTTGGAATGCTTTTGACTTGTGCTTGTTGCATGTAGACATTAATCAGTTATTAATATTAGGTTTGCAATTGTAAGTAATAGGTTCCTGATGATTGACTAATGATCATGATAATTTAGGTTGTTACTGACAGACTGACATTTAGTCCCAGTTATCTTATTTAAAAATATATAGCAGCAAAAATTTTTTAAAAAATGGTTAAATCAGAAAGGAGCCCAGAATAATTCTGAATTTCAAGCTGAGGCAATCTAGACCTGCCCAATCATACTAGGCTGGAGTTCGATACTTTTAAACTGTTTCTTTTCTTTTTTTAGACAGACTGTCACTGGGAATAATACCAAATTTGAAATATTGCGAAAACAGGATGATAATTATGCACACTCATCATGATCCTGCTCTATGTAACTGGTGTTTCTAACCAAACAAGATTGATATGGATGATTCATTAATCTACTAACTGAACATTGATTGATTGATACTAGTACTGATAGGTTAAGTACTTTGCTTCAATAATATCATCTGAGTATATGAACATGTCATCCATGCAGTAACTTTATGTTACATTGTTGTCAACATTAACCCTCCCCAAGTCAAAATCACTTTCTGTTTCTTTCTGTTTGACTATTCATGTCTTTTGTAAGGCACATATTCACTTTGTTGAAAAAAATATGTGTGAAATCAGTTGAAAAAAGTCATTTGAATCCACCCATGGTCGTGGTGGGGCTGTGGTTAGTGCCCATACTTTGCAGTATCCTAGAGATGTTTGAATCCACCCATGGTCGTGGTGGGGCTGTGGTTAGTGCCCATACTTTGCAGTATCCTAGAGATGTTTGAATCCACCCATGGTCGTGGTGGGCTGTGGTTAGTGCCCATACTTTGCAGTATCCTAGAGATGTTTGAATCCACCCATGGTCGTGGTGGGGCTGTGGTTAGTGCCCATACTTTGCAGTATCCTAGAGATGTTTGAATCCACCCATGGTCGTGGTGGGGCTGTGGTTAGTGCCCATACTTTGCAGTATCCTAGAGATGTTTGAATCCACCCATGGTCGGGGTGGGGCTGTGGTTAGTGCCCATACTTTGCAGTATCCACCCATGGTCATGGAGATGTTTGAGATCCACCCATGGTCGTGGTGGGGCTGTGGTTAGTGCCCATACTTTGCAGTATCCTAGAGATGTTTGAATCCACCCATGGTCGTGGGTGGGGCTGTGGTTAGTGCCCATACTTTGCAGTATCCTAGAGATGTTTGAATCCACCCATGGTCGTGGTGGGGCTGTGGTTAGTGCCCATACTTTGCAGTATCCTAGAGATGTTTGAATCCACCCATGGTCGTGGTGGGGCTGTGGTTAGTGCCCATACTTTGCAGTATCCTAGAGATGTTTGAATCCACCCATGGTCGTGGTGGGGCTGTGGTTAGTGCCCATACTTTGCAGTATCCTAGAGATGTTTGAATCCACCCATGGTCGTGGTGGGGCTGTGGTTAAGTGCCCATACTTTGCAGTATCCTAGAGATGTTTGAATCCACCCATGGTGGTGGTGGGGCTGTGGTTAGTGCCCATACTTTGCAGTATCCTAGAGATGTTTGAATCCACCCATGGTCGTGGTGGGGCTGTGGTTAGTGCCCATACTTTGCAGTATCCTAGAGATGTTTGAATCCACCCATGGTCGTGGTGGGGCTGTGGTTAGTGCCCATACTTTGCAGTATCCTAGAGATGTTTGAATCCACCCATGGTCGGTGGTGGGCTGTGGTTAGTGCCCATACTTTGCAGTATCCTAGAGATGTTTGAATCCACCCATGGTCGTGGTGGGGCTGTGGTTAGTGCCCATACTTTGCAGTATCCTAGAGATGTTTGAATCCACCCATGGTCATGGTGGGGCTGTGGTTAATGCCCATACTTTGCAGTATCCTAGAGATGTTTGAATCCACCCATGGTCAGGTGGGGCTGTGGTTAGTGCCCATACTTTGCAGTATCCTAGAGATGTTTGAATCCACCCATGGTCGTGGTGGGGCTGTGGTTAGTGCCCATACTTTGCAGTATCCTAGAGATGTTTGAATCCACCCATGGTCGGTGGGGCTGTGGTTAGTGCCATACTTTGCAGTATCCTAGAGATGTTTGAATCCACCCATGGTCGTGGTGGGGCTGTGGTTACTTAGTGCCCATACTTTGCAGTATCCTAGAGATGTTTGAATCCACCCATGGTCGTGGTGGGGCTGTGGTTAGTGCCCATACTTTGCAGTATCCTAGAGATGTTTGAATCCACCCATGGTTGTGGTGGGGCTGTGGTTAGTGCCCATACTTTGCAGTATCCTAGAGATGTTTGAATCCACCCATGGTCGTGGTGGGGCTGTGGTTAGTGCCCATACTTTGCAGTATCCTAGAGATGTTTGAATCCACCCATGGTCGTGGTGGGGCTGTGGTTAGTGCCCATACTTTGCAGTATCCTAGAGATGTTTGAATCCACCCATGGTCGTGGTGGGGCTGTGGTTAGTGCCCATACTTTGCTGTATCCTAGAGATGTTTGAATCCACCCATGGTCGTGGTGGGGCTGTGGTTAGTGCCCATACTTTGCAGTATCCTAGAGATGTTTGAATCCACCCATGGTCGTGTAATTGGGGCTGTGGTTAGTGCCCATACTTTGCAGTATCCTAGAGATGTTTGAATCCACCCATGGTGGTCGTGGTGGGGCTGTGGTTAGTGCCCATACTTTGCAGTATCCTAGAGATGTTTGAATCCACCCATGGTCGTGGTGGGGCTGTGGTTAGTGCCCATACTTTGCAGTATCCTAGAGATGTTTGAATCCACCCATGGTAACGTGGTGGGGCTGTGGTTAGTGCCCATACTTTGCAGTATCCTAGAGATGTTTGAATCCACCCATGGTCGTGGTGGGCTGTGGTTAGTGCCCATACTTTGCAGTATCCTAGAGATGTTTGAATCCACCCATGGTCTTGGTGGGGCTGTGGTTAGTGCCCATACTTTGCAGTATCCTAGAGATGTTTGAATCCACCCATGGTCGTGGTGGGGCTGTGGTTAGTGCCCATACTTTGCAGTATCCTAGAGATGTTTGATTCCACCCATGGTCGTGGGTGGGGCTGTGGTTAGTGCCCATACTTTGCAGTATCCTAGAGATGTTTGAATCCACCCATGGTCGTGGGGGCTGTGGTAAGTGCCCATACTTTGCTGTATCCTAGAGATGTTTGAATCCACCCATGGTCGTGGTGGGGCTGTGGTTAGTGCCATACTTTGCAGTATCCTAGAGATGTTTGAATCCACCCATGGTCGTGGTGGGGCTGTGGTTACTTAGTGCCCATACTTTGCAGTATCCTAGAGATGTTTGAATCCACCCATGGTCGTGGTGGGGCTGTGGTTAGTGCCATACTTTGCAGTATCCTAGAAATGTTTGAATCCACCCATGGTTGTGGTGGGGCTGTGGTTAGTGCCCATACTTTGCAGTATCCTAGAGATGTTTGAATCCACCCATGGTGGTGGTGGTGGGGCTGTGGTTAGTGCCCATACTTTGCTGTATCCTAGAGATGTTTGAATCCACCCATGGTCGTGGTGGGCTGTGGTTAGTGCCCATACTTTGCAGTATCCTAGAGATGTTTGAATCCACCCATGGTCGTGGTGGGGCTGTGGTTAGTGCCCATACTTTGCTGTATCCTAGAGATGTTTGAATCCACCCATGGTCGTGGT